TTTGATCAACTAAAATGTTTAACTCAAAATAAAACAAACTTTTTCTTCAAACTTTGGTCATCAAAACTGTCTCAACTCTAAATGTTCTCTGTGGAAGACTTTTTATTTACGAAAACGACGCAACTCAAAATGTGTCACTCTTGTAGAAGATATTTATGATCTTTTCGAAAACTTTAAGAATGATACTAATGCTATTTGGCGGATGAACTGTAAAGTTAAATTAGTTTTACTTATGATGACTGATAGAATAATCTTTACCTAATTATTCATGGTAATAACTCAAAAATCACATCTTCAGTTAGTGTAACTTTTAAGTGAGGAAACGATACAGTATTATACGTATCACCATACTGAAAATATAATAGTTCGTATATTATATTGATATTATCTTCCACATTGGAAATTTTCTGACTATTACACTTTCAGAAGCATTGAAACGCCGTTCCTATTTCCGACACAAAATATTTAATATATAGTATATAAATACGCACGAGCTCACGCACACGTGCATGTGCACGTTCATGTGCATGTCAATTTGCTCCGCTAGTCCTTTTTCTCATTTCGAGACGCGTGCCATCGGACGATGTGGAACATCTACGTTTTTCAATTTCCTAATGGATATGTGCGGTAGCTGTATGTTACTCAGCCGCGATCATTCAGTCGGGCTGATTGAAAATTGCGGGCGCAAAGCGTATCAAGGAATCGATATGTATGTTGACTGAGCCACTCTGTAACACATGTATATGTTTTTGTAAACATTACTTACATCACAGCGGGAATTGCATGATGAATTGATAGAATGCGTATAATTACATCTAAATAAATAATTTCTTAGATCAGATGTTGCTATGTGACATTATGTTTGTGTATTAAGTGATCAATTTTTTTTAAATGCGGAAAGCTATGCAAAAATGGAAGGAAAATATTCGGGATATGTAGAAAAGTGAATTATTATTATTGTTCAGATTATTATTATTATAATTTTTTTCTTTGCTAATATCAATTTAATAATGCGCAAAGAATGTTACGGAATAGTTATATATAAAATAATTGTATTTTGATAATCTTCTTGTAAGAGTCTGCGTAAGATATCTGTATATCTCAAAATTGTCTTGTCAAAACATCTTTCTAAACGGGGATTGTAACTTTTTATCAAGAGACATGGTGGCGCGCAGCGCGAGACCGCCTTGAGTTGCGAGCATCCAAAATTATCGATTTTTTAATAAAAGCTGAACCGATCGAATTCTGAATATAAGCTCAATCGATAGATAGGATCCGAATTATATAATAAGCGTTTATTTTATCTTTATGTCTCCTACGAACGGAGATATTGTGATGTAAAATCCGAAATGTCAAAATTAAATGTAAGATACGTCATCGCAAAAAAATCTCCTTTTTATAATTTCGACGGTAGATGATACACGTATATTGTTCTCATTTACCGATTTATTTATCTATAGTTTCATTAGCACTGCATTATATGTCAACATTTCACTGTATAGTTGCTTTAATACTTTAATAAGTTACTTTTAAATTAAAAGTGTATACAAATATAAAACTTACCGCTTGACCGCTTGACTCATGCCGTTATCAAATTCACAATTTTAGCGTCACGAAATTGGTAACGGTATGAGTATATACGCAATGACGTTCACACGTCAAGCGATCAATTGGCCCGTTTTATACACTTTACATTAAAATTATTCAGAAACTAAAGCCGCAATTAAAAATCTAAAAAATACTTTTGTTATATTATATAATATCATCGGTATCTTTCAATTGCGACTCGTTAGAATAATACCGAGATCTTTTCCTAAAAAAAGATCAGCTTTTCAAATTTGTTCAGTCGTACGTACATACATGTACACACACACACACACACACGCACACAAAGCGTTTTGCCCATTAAATTTCTGTTCACAATACCTTCATAGAATTTTAATTTTAATAAAAAATTAAAGTAAAATTAGCAACAAAAGTAAACCTTGATACATATACGGGTGTAATTTATGTAATAAGATCAACAGAGAGCACACTTGATGCTTTTTTTTTACCTTTTTTTAAAAAGTTAAATAATACACTACAGAGTCTATTTTATATTTTAGAAAAAATATAGGCAAAAAGGGTCAATTTATCTTTAGATTTGCTTTTGGCTGTCCATAAAACGTCATTTTATTTGCATAAAATAAGGTGTTGCGAACATTATTATACTCTCATGTCATATCTGCGGAGCGAATATACGTGTCAGGCTACGCAAAGTATGCTATAGTAGATGATGCATAAAGCGCATAAACGCGAACAAAACGTAAAAGAACCGAGAGAGATGTGAATAGTAGTAAACCGGAATGACAGGCCGGAGTAATACTCCGTGGTGTATTTAATAAAAAATTACAATTGTTTACAAAGGTGTATAATTTTGAAATATACAGACGTTACGTATATAAGAAGACTATCAAAGTATTTTATATACAACCATTTCCGTAACATTTTTTTTTTGCGCGTTATTCAATCAATATTCATTAGCAAAGAAAAAAATGTAAAAGAATAATAATAATTCAGTCTTCTACTGTATAATATATTAATACAAATATAATCTAATTGTTTCTGAGACTATTTTATCGTTTGTTTAAATATACCTATGATTAATAGATAGTGTACTAATCGTAAATATATTTGAACAAACTAACTATAAAAAAAAGAATGCGCCACAATAATATTTCGTATATATGTACTATAGGTGACAATGGAATCGATTGCAATCGAAAGTTAATTTAATTATGCTCAACTACAATTTAAATTCTCTGGATTCGCTTTAATAAGAGTAGCTTGGCCACAAATGATGCGCCTTGTAGTAAATAAAATCAGTTGTGCGAGACTTTATGAGACTTGGGAAGAAACCATGCTGTGATGCGAGTATAGTTGCGGTCTGATGACAATCGGACCGGAGAGCGCGGTTGTAAAGGCATCTTTTCGAACAGATTGTCTCTGGCACGATATTACGTCGACGATACCACTGCATTCGTGTTTATGACGACTAAATAACATAGCTTGCACCTTCAAGCTAAGTTTAAAGATGTGTTTGCGGCAAGATCTTTACTCTTTTTCGCGGAAATATGACGTTGCTTTTCTCTATTCGTAAAGTCGCGCTCATGAAATTTACTGGTTTTATACACACTATGTCGTGTAATCTTTTGAGACATGTATGAAATATTTCGTATAATTATTATAGTAAATATAATAATAGCAATTAATTATATCAAGAAAAATGGGATACATTAATAATTTGTAAAATTGAATAAAAAAAAGTTCGTGTATATTGGTAACTGTGTATAATTAATAATTAATCATTATTATCCTATCTAATTGGAACAGTTCGAAGTTATATAATTCAAAATATAGGATGCTTGCTGTCGGTACAGACATACATTTTGTTATTACAAATTATCATGTTAAATAAATATCAAACTGTCGAACGGAGAATTTATGATATTGCGTGAAACATGTAGATGCATCGATCCGATCTCACGCATCGCCTTAACGTACAAAAATTTCTCCCAATGTTATCGCAGCACCGCAACAACGTTCGCTGTGTTTGCCCAACGGTGTTTATCGAATGGAAAAATATGCTCATGGCAATTCCGGTAATGGTGGCATGTGGATTCGCGCGCGGTGCTGTACCGTAAAAGCTACTCCATGCGAACGAGCATGCTTGTCGAATATACGCTTTTTAAAACGCTGTACACATCACCCAACGTTGTTATATTCCACCGCAACAACGTTCGCCAGGTCATTCTTCGTGTATATTCTCCCCAGATTCGTACGACCGTCGTTTGTGGATCTACAGATGAATACATATGCATGCCGTTACCTTTCAACCCTTATTCAGCATTTCTACTCTCCAACAACGTGTGTTTTTTTTTTGTTCGCGTATAATACGATACGCGTATTCGCTCTTTGAAGGACAGAATTTTTATTGAAATTACATAGTATATATATCGCGTGGCATATCGTATATGTTACGTTGACAGATCACTATTTACCCAGAATTTAACAATATAGTTAATTAAAATGTACTTTTGCGATCGAATCTTCTTATTTTTATTTTTATTTCGTTTTATTAATATCTTTAATGATGCATATTATATTTATATATTCAAAATGTTTATAGATATTTTTCTATAGCGATTAGAAATGTAAAATTATCAGTTAATTTTGATCTGACAATTATTTACGATAAAATGTAATACAATAAAATTCTTATATTAGATTTGTTTATTATTTGTAATTTTTGCACTCAGAAACTTCGCCTTTTCTCTTTCCAACATTCGAATATATATATTTTCTTTCAAGTCTAAACATTTTTTAAGAGAATAACCTGAATAAATCTATATTCTCATCATACTCTTATTAAATATTTTCATTTCTCTTCTTTATATTAAGAATTTTCAGTTATGATACCACAATCTCTGTGTAGTCACTATGTAAGCTTGTAAGATATGAAATATGAAAAATAATTTAAGACTACACTCATCACACTTTTACATTAAAAAGTCTAACAAAAAAATGTTTTTTTTTTTTTAATTTCTCCAGTTACTATGTAACTAATTAATATATTATGTATATACGTATATAATTACTATATTAAAATGATTAGAAAATATTAGTTAGATAAAGTATTTTATTTAATTTAAAGATCATAAATGCTCTTTTTGAATTTTCAATCAAAATTTTCTTATTTCTATAATTTTTTTAAATTACCAGTTTTTCAAAATTATCAGATAATTTATCGCGATTTTTACCGAGTAAATTACCGTTATTTTCATTTCTAGCAGTGATAAGATATTCGATTTTTAATGTAGATTTTTTTTAATATTAATTTCATATAGATTTTTAATTTTATCGCGATTTATCTGACTTCTTAAAAAAATAATTTAATTATTAAAATATGCTAAATAATATTTTTAATTTCATCTAACAATAAGAATTCGATGTATCCTTACCGTGTAACAGCATGAAGAGGATGAAAACGCAGATCATTTTGAAAGGTTTGCAACCGGTCCCATTGCCGCTATATTGTAAATCCATTCCCAATGCTTTCACAGTCCATCGTTTCCGATACATTTCACGTCAACTGCTTCTTCAAAGCTGCAACAGTCGGCTGAGGGCGACGTGCTTTCCTAGTTGGCAGTAAAAAGGAATTCACTTCGCTCACTGACAGTTGCAACACTTGCCACTTGGCTGTATTATTTCCGTCAGTCTCATTGATAATACTTTGTACTTTAATATATTTTCCAAATCAAGAAGTGCTTATAAATTGAATAAAGCTTGCTCTTTTTTCAAGTTTTCGCTATTAAATATTATAATTTTATTGATAACAATAAAATTATTGCATCGTGAAATTAAGGATAAAGTAATAATCTTATATTTTATATTTTCTCTTACTAGAGTAATTAAATCCATATATACATAGATCTTTTTAAATAATTAAATGATTAGCACGCAAATATAGAAATTACCATCGTCGCAGTGATCAGGTTAGCCATATACAACGATATACTTGATATTTTCTCAAATTATGCAACGGACCGTCATGCGCGAATGTACGCAATTACTCGGGAAAGTAATTACTTCTGCCGCGATTACGATTTCAAGCACCAATGGGAAAAAGAGGGACAAGCGTGTTTAATCGCGTTGTGCGTGATGTCGTTTCTATTCGCTGTTGAAAAGTGTACGTGTTATTTGCTTTTATGTAAACTGTGCGAGCGAAATCAACAATATGTGACCAAATGCGCGATATATGTTGTTGGTCCTTCGATAAGTTTACGTTAAGTGACGCGCTGCGGAACGCGCGATTGAAAACGAACGTGATGTGATTTCAATTGAATTCGCGCATCCATTACCCAATCGGGTGTTACTGGCCAGCAAATCATAATCGACAGAACTAATTTGGTATGCACATAACACAGCTAGGGATATTAATTTCACTTGTCATTGGATTTCAATGAATGTGTCCGGATCCGCATGCGAGGATAACTGCTATAAACCGATCTTGCTGCAAAGAGCATGAATAGATAGTTTAACCGAAGAGCCATTATCGAGCCACATTGTCAAGCTATTGAAGAATTCATGGTATGATCGTTTTGTTTTACTACTGATAATAATATTAAATAAACTTGTTTAAAAGGTACAGATAATTAGAAGCTAAAAATTGACTCCTAATATTAATGTACTCAGTGCTAAAGAATATTTAAAGATATTCGGGCTAACGTTTTGCTTTT